TATATATATATATATATATATATATATATATATGTATATATATATTTGTTGAGGACCTGATACAGAAGTGGCGCGGGTCTGATTTGAAAAAAGTCACATTTGTGCTGTTCAGATTGTCTAAATATCAGATATAGATCACATATAGGTGGAAAATGGCTGTAGGATCAATAGGTAGCACCAAAACTCCTTCATTTTCTTGCTTATTAAAACAACCTTCTCAAACGAAAATACAACCCGGTGCCACACTCACCCTCATTTGTGCGGTTTTAATAATAACATAAACTGACTTCATCAGATGAAGTCACATGCTGACATCAACTTGACAACGCTCTCTGAGTCAGACTTCATTTAGACATGATACATTATTTCAATGTTGTGGATGAAATGTTAGATTTCTGTATAAATGAGCAGCATAAAGAATGCTTCGGACAACTTTGAGATCGTTTTAAAAATGGCAGAAACAGGCTTTGCTTTTGGTCCTGCTCTGGCTGGCTACACACTGGACTGTCAAGTTTAATAAGTTTGGGCATCCATAGATGTTCAAGATTTACTTATAAACATAGCTTTAGCTAAACTGACTACAGTCAAATACTTCAAGGTTACTTTACTATATATAATGGGTACAGAAACTTGGTGAGTCCTGTCGTCTCTCCTCACACATCTGCCAAGTTTGAGCCAAAAAATAAGCTACAAGTTTTGTTTTTTGCTCTGAGTGTTTCATTCTGTCTTCTCACCTCCTCAAAATGTTCCACAATGGAAAAGAGTTGCCCCATAATTTCAGTAGGTCAGTCTGTCACTCTCTCTCTCCCTTAATTGCTCAGTCACCCGATGTCATTTCGAATGGATCTGTTGTCACCCTTTGGTGGGTTGAAATCTCACCGTAGATGGTTCCTCTCCAGCGATATTTTTCATACAGTGAGCCTAAAATGCCATTGGGTAAAAAGGGATCTTTAAAGTGTCATCCTGCAGGCAACCTCCTTATAAATCACAAACATATCTTTTGATTTGGGAGAAATGGGAAGAAGAGTGAATGGAAGGAGGGACCTGGCTGTGAGGCCAGTGAGTTCTGCCATTTGCCAGCGCAGTAAAAGGAGGGATACTCCGCTTTTGTCGCGCTAAGCCTCCATTCTCGCAAAGTGCCCTCCGAAGACAAGGAACTCTATTTTTACCACGGTCACAATTTGGCTCCCGTCGCCGCAGACCTTGGCCCTCAAAGCGGCTCCCGTTTCCAAACCCCCCGTGCGCGCACCCCGCACAGAGTCACGCTTGTGCTCGACCTCTGCGCACTGACAGCAGGAGCACATTCCTAAAGGTAGCTTCGCACAAAACAGACGAATAAATGGAATTCCCATCCCATGTGTTGCTTTTTCATTAAAAAAAAAAGAAAAAGAAAAGCTGCAGCTAGATTGGCCACACATGGTATAATTTGTGTTTATTGGCATGAAAGGGTGAAAATATGACAGAGGTTAGATGTGTTTGATGGAATCTCGTAGCTGAGTTAGAGTGAGCGTGTTTCCTGCAGACTGATCAGCAGCTTGTTTGCGTTTGGTCAGTAGCTGTGACCACATGGTGGGAGGGGGAAAGGGGCAGCGGAGGGGCCGGTGAGAAGTCTGTTAATGCAACCTGACAGGAGTGAGCACAGTCAGTGGGCCGCCTGTTTCCTCCTCTGTGGGACTTTTATTTCAGCAGCGCTGGACCCAGAACTGGGTCCGGCTCAGGGATCCACCAGCTCCAAACTCATAACCTGAAGTCAGTGGTGACCTCATCCAAAAGAAAGGGCCCATTTGGACTGCGAAAAACAGATTGGGTGCCGTTTGCATGTCATCATTATAATTCTTAAGAACTAGCCATGGTACTGAAAATATGTTTCCCCCTTTGGGGATCTTGATTTTTCTGTTTTGTTTTCTTAACTAGCCTCTTGTCATCCAATCAAAATCCTGAACATTCAAGGTCACGATAAAAGGAGCTTCAATCCATTACAATGCTCGTTAAAAAGTCTTAAAATTCATGGGGTATTAACTCCTTAAACGCTGCACATACTACGAGCTATAAATTGCGGAGGACTCATTCTTAAATATGGGGAACCAATATGTAGTTTTATACTTTTTTGTTTTATTTTATCTTATCTCACATACATAACAAAAACAAAAATATGTTAAAGTGAACTTCCATATCTTCACACAACATGCAAATGTGACTCATATCCAGCTTCTTCACCGCAATCTGAATGGCCCAATTTTGATCATTTCATACAAAGAAATCCAATGTGCAACTCTTCGCTATGCGGTATTAAATGGCAATTATCTACTTTTACAAGTAAGTCCTTTCTTTCTATTACCTTCCTTCGTGTTATGATTTTGTGACAATACTGTTGACTCCCATTGCTGAATAACTTCTAAAATCAGTCCGTAGACCCCGGCGTCCACTGTTATGTCCGTAAATAACGGATGTAAATAATAATGTGTGCCGTTCTTCTTCTGCCTCTGCTGGTCTCTTTAGGAAACCGTTCACACAGGAGTTTGATTGTAGTCGCATTTAATTAGTAGGATGAACAACCGTGCAAAAAATGAATCAGATATCAGCAAAACATCAGAATTGAGCATCAAGACTTGCTATGTGAATGTAGCATTTTTTTTTTTCTGTGAGCAACCCAATTTTCTCATGCCGCCCTGTGCAACCTGTACAACCCATATCAAAATGGCGACTGCATATCATCAGAGCTCCTAAGGGCTAATTTAGAGGTTTATTATAAGTTGCTAAACACCTTGGAGTAATTATTAGGCATTCTGGCTTTTGCTATAAACTACAGACTGTACCTCCAGGTCTTTGCAAAGGTTTGTGAACCCGATGAACCTTTCGTCATTTAGTCTCAACACGACCATAAACTTCAATGCCTTTTATTGTAGTTTTATTGGATGGATCAACTCAAATTAATGCATGCTTCTTAAATGAAAGAAAAAAACCTAATACACATAAAAGTTCTTACATTCACAGATATGATGCACGTGGCGTACATTTGTGTTCAAATTAACAATTTGTGGAAATACTTGAAAATGTCAACATCTCTCCATAAAATCAGGGAAAACTTTTGTCCGTCAAGTTAGTCTCTGTGCTCCGTTTGATGCAGGTGAAAAACGAGATGCAGAAAACACGTCCAAGGCGGAGCCATCCAACGGTCACGGCAGGCCGCTGGACATCGTCCCCAGCGCGGAGGAGAAGATGATGGACAGGGGCCAGTGGGGCAACAAGATCGAGTTTGTCCTGTCTGTCGCCGGGGAAATTATTGGTCTGGGTAACGTCTGGCGCTTCCCCTACCTCTGCTACAAGAACGGAGGAGGTGAGCTCTAAGAATCGTCATCTTTATGGTTCTTGGTAACCGTCTGATGTCTAAAGGGACCAGGACCTAATTAAGTTAAAACGGAAAAAGGGTGCGGTAACTGGAATGTGAAAAGAAACCCGGACATCGCTAAAACATGTTTCATTTGTAGCCCAGCTGGTGGACTTTCTTTTTACTCTTCATTGTCATGCCTCACATTTGTGGCACTAACGCTGTTCACCTGCTGTACTGGATTATTTGCACGTATTTAATATGGAGCAGAAGCCACATTGAGTTAGTGGTAGGAATAATCAATAGCATTTGCAAGGTCACATCTGAGGATTTTAGACCTCACCGACAAACACAGACATTTTGGACAGAGTTTATACATGCAAAGATAGCTGGATGTCATTTATGAAAATAAATAAAAGAAACCAATGTTGTGATGCCACGCGCTACGTAGAAAAGTGTTCAGATAGTATTATCCTTTTTAAAGGAGAGCTTTTGCAAAATCTGACATGTTACAACCACAAACTTTCATAGATTTTATTATGATTGTATGTGGTAGACCAATGCAAATTAGTGCATAATCTGAGATGGGAGGAAAATGATTCCCAGTTGAACAACATACCACTGAGTCCCTTTTTCTCTGGTACCACCACATAAAATCCACTGCAACTGACAGCCTTCAGAAATCACCTAAACAATAAATACAGTGTCATTTAAAAACTGCTGTTTACAAAAGTTAACCAGTCGGTCTGACCAAGCTTCTGCCATTGTGCAGAGAGGAATGGGAACAGTGTGTCGATGTCGAAATCTGGTGGAGACATTGCCCAAAAGGCTTGTGGTGCTGCAGAATCCAAAGTCATTTGAAGTTTGTGATTCCAACAAAATGTGGAATGGCTTAAGGGGCATAGATATTTATGCAAGATGCTGTGTTTTTGCTTACCCAGTTCCAAGTGTTAGACAGTCTTAACGTGTTTATGAACTGTTGCCTAAATGTATACAGGGGCTTTTTTTATTCCATACCTCATCTTCCTGTTTGCTTGTGGCATCCCCGTGTTCCTCCTGGAGACTTCTTTGGGACAGTACACCAGTGAGGGCGGCATCACTTGCTGGCGGAAAATTTGCCCATTATTTGAAGGTAATGTGTTTTTTTTTATTATTATTATTATTCTGCCTTGAAACACTTTGAGATTATTTCTCTTCTGTAGGCATGTTTTCATGTTATTGTTTACATCCAGAACTTTGGAGCATGCGCACAATGGAGGGCAAAAAGTCATTTTTTATTTATTTATTTATTTTTGTTAATTTGTGTTGTCTTTAGCTGCGCCACAGTCGTACAACAATTCAGGTAACAAAATGAAACCTGGACATGTAGCTATTCTTAATTTAGTGTTTTGTGCCACAACAAAGGGAAAAATAACACAGAAAAACCTTTGAAGAATAACTCAAGACCACTCGTATTCTTTTTCTGCCGCTCTCTGTGTTGGCTGTGCTAAGTACAGACTCGTTGCCATAGCAACTGACTGACAACGCCACAAATGTATCAGGACTGAACACCAAAAATCACGCAAACATTTCCCACACAAAGAAGAGAACATTCAGTCTGTTAAAGCATCGTGTTTTCATGCTTTATGTTTATTTTGTGATTATTATTATTATTAGCTAAACATTTGCTCTGCTGATGATCGGTGAGAAAGTTGGTGTGTGGGTCGCCTTTTCTTTTTTTTTTTAACCGAGTTCCACAGCACATCTACATGTTAAGGTTGCCAAAGTCAAGCTAGCTTAAATAACCTACTTCCCTCCTCCTCGCTATTTTTGTTTAATTTAAAAGTTTTTCTGTTATCTAGTTGTCATAGTGTTGGCAATCAGTTGCAAAGCAATGCATCCCTTTCTCTTTTATATACCAAGCATACATTTAGGATTTAGCGCATTCAGAGCTAAAACCTCTGGTCCTTGTTGGTGAGCAGTTTTTCGGCCTGCAGCCGGGAGCTGGCGTTACTCTGCAACACGTCTATATATGTCAAAGGTAAATATCGTTTGGTAGGTCAGTGCAGAAATACACAGTAAGCTGCATTCTTATGGACCACATAAGATCCATAAGAAACTCGGGGCGTCTCCATGGAAAAAAACAAGCAAACATGCCTGCGCAACGCCGTGGCTTGACAGAGGAATTCCAGACATGTCAGTGCAAAACGTTTGTGGTTGTGAATTATTAGAATTAGTACACATGCCACACTGAAATCTGTTAAATAGATGTGGAAACAATAGGAGGCTATATATTAAGTGTTTTTGTTTTGTTTCTTTTTAAATGGGAGTGTCTACTAAGGAAACTTGAGGAATGACATCTGGGAAAGACGCACGTGCAGAAGCAAAGCTTCAATCCAGAACTTGGATGCCTTGGAGTCATTAGAAATGTGCAAAAGTTACTTCCATGTGAATCTAAAGCTTCAGCTTAGATTGAGTGGAAGAATGCTCAACAAACAGTTCTCACTTACTTTTGTGTTTTTTAAATGACTCCCTTCTCTTTTTTTTGCATATCAGGAGTGGGTTATGCCACCCAGGTGATTGTCGCTCTCCTGAACATCTACTACATTGTTGTGCTGGCCTGGGCCTTATTCTTTCTCTTCAACTCGTTCACCTGGGATCTGCCCTGGGCGTCTTGCAACAACACGTGGAACACAGGTGAGGCGAACGATGGGACAACAGCACTGTTTTTCATTACCCCAGGCAGGGTCAGTTGTTTCTCAATGTGGACAGTTTTTCTGTGGATTCATGCTGCATTTTATGCATACTCAGAAATTTAGGTGGAGAAGTCGAGTTCCCAGTTGGAAATGCAACAACGACAACAAAAAAATCCCCTGAAGTTCAACATCGATACTGGCAGGGCAGTGTATAAAACACAGTGAAAGTTGCAGGTATAAGATAGTCGTAAAAATTCAGACAGTACTAATGGACGACCTCTACTTGTAAACATGTTAAAATATAATGAGAAAGATAACGTACATTGTCATCAGCTTCTATTACAACTTGAAAGTTGGATTGTTCAAGTTCCCAGGTGGAAATGCAACAAAGTCACAAATCTGAATTGGAAAGTGAAAGGTCTCCAAACAGCCATTAGTTTGGTATCCATCATGGATGCTGCATGTGTAAAACACAAAGAAAGTTAGAGGTATGAAGTATTTATTATATTTCTGAAAGCTTGGATTTCGTTAAACCAGAGGCAAAACACAGGACGGTACAAAATCCTTTTTTTTTTCAGTCTTTATGAAGAGAAGACAAATGCATCGTCTTTGTCTTGTACAGATAATAGTAGTTTGCCATGCAGTTTGCAGTACTTATTTTCTAATTTACGACTCTGACCTTTGACTATTGAGTGCACCAGATGTGCCACAACAATTAGTAACTCCGTTTTTACAATTTGCCTCAGATGTGAAATTTCTAAAAAAAAAATCCTAATAGGAACATAACTGAGCAGTTGGCTGGGCTTCCACCTTTAAAGATTCATTAGTAAACAAAATAGAAAGTCTGAATTATTATTATTATTTTTTTTTTTTACCTCAACTCAGAAACTTCAAACTACCTGGATATCTATCCGGCTGCTGCTTATGTTTAACATTTAAATACAGAAGAATATTTGTAATTCTATCTAGTTTAAGACTATCAGCAAAACTTCCTGTTGTTGTCTATTGAATTTAACCTCGGCAGCACGTTAGCTTTCCCGCTAATAGCTTGCTAGCATGTACCCACAGCCTCCAAATTCAAGCTTTTTTTTTTTTTTTTTTTTTTGAGGAACTATAATTGAATGTCACAACTCCGATGTTTTTCAGTGGTTTCCCTCATCATTTCATTCATTCGTATAGCTACTTGTTTTAAGACTGAGTGTTCCCGCTCCACTTCACTGTTCCCTCTCAGCGGCGGCATTGCTTCTCTCATCCGAGTGTAACTTGGAAACCTCTGAGAAAGCTTGGATTTCTTCGCGGGAATGAATGTCCTTTTTGTCTGTTCTTCATTCAAGATTCCTGTATGGCATTTCAGAGGGGAAACGGCTCCGTCAATCACCATGAGAACGCCACCTCTCCCGTCATTGAGTTTTGGGAGTAAGTTCTGTTTTTCCTCGTCCCTTTGTTTCGCCGGCTCCTCAAGGTAGCTCACCAGATATCCGTCACTCAACAAGAGATTCGAGTTTCTTTCAGAGTTGGAATCGCTTCAGATTGTGTTGCTCGTTTGTCAAAGTATGTTGGAGTGATCCTGGGATTGCTTGTGTCCCGCAGGCGCAGAGTCCTGAGAATTTCCTCTGGCATTGACCACATTGGCGCGCTGAACTGGGATCTGGTCGCCTGCTTGGCCGTCGCGTGGGTCATCTGCTACTTCTGCATCTGGAAGGGAGTCAAATCAACTGGGAAGGTGAAACCGCCTCTATGGGTTGAGGAATATGAGTGGAAATAATGCAGAGTGGACTGATAGTTTGACAGAGTTGCTGTGTTTCCTTCCAGGTGGTTTACTTCACGGCTACGTTCCCATACATCATGCTGCTGGTCCTACTGATCAGAGGAGTCACTTTGCCCGGAGCCTTGAGGGGAATCCACTTCTACCTTTACCCCGATTTGGGACGACTGTCTGATCCCCAGGTAGGTTTAAGACTTGTGCAAGTCCGCAGTTCTCTTCCTGATACGGTGACTGGTTTCTTTCGACTTTCCCATGATTCAGGTGTGCCTTAAATGACACCTGCAGGTGTGTCTCAAATTAACTCGGGTATTATCAATAAACCTGTCAGAAGCTTCCAAAGACTTGGCATCGAATGTCCCAAATTGTTTAAAGGTACAGTAATCCATAGCGTATTTGAACTGTTGACTGAGGAAAAAAAATTCTCTCTCTCATTATTTAGCAAATATTTAAAAAAAAAATGATGGGAAAAGTTTATTCTGAATTCACGTCAGACAGTTTGAAATAAACTCATGTCTTCTTTTATATAGTTTCTGGTTTCGATTGTATGTTAGAATAGACAGACAGATTAAGTCTTTAGCTTTAAAATAAGTTATGAATTTATGTTAGTAGCTTCTGATTCCTCCTACAAATGAACAAATGGTGTAAATTGACTTCACAATGACTGCAAAGTTAAAATCATCTCACCCAGTAACTTGTGACTTAAGACGCTGTCAACAGCAGGGAAATTAAAATTAGACAAAATTTCATTGACCAAATCGTAATTGGGCCATGTAAATCAGTTTTTTTGTCCTGCTGGAGAATTTCTAATATGCAGATTGATTGTTTTGTTCACTTCTCTATGAGAGCTACAATCTGAAGACCTACCGGTCCAGCATGACAATCCCAGAAACAGCCCTCCCTCCTTTTCCTTTCGGGACTCCTTTGAATAGGAGTCCCGAGAGTGCTAGCCAAGTCAAGCTAGGCTGGTGGAGCCGCTATCTTGGAAGTATCTGTTGGCTGGAACTCCAGTCAGCCGGATTTTCTGTCCTGTATGCAACAGGAAGGAAGGCAAAACCAAATTAGTAAATTACACAAAACCATACGAAGCTAGGGTTAGAAACCGTTTACTGTCAGAATCCAGCTAAATCAGTTTACAAGATGAATTAGTTTCTTTATGGTGAGCAATCTCTACCGCAGATTTGAAGACGGAGCACTGGTGTTTTGTAAGTTTCTTGAAATTAAAATTTGTTGAGTTGATGAATCAAGTAACAATTCAGCTAAAATTCAGAGGAAAAGTCACCAGCAAGTGGTGATTAATATAATCAATATTTAAAATAGATAATTCGACTAAAACCCAATTACTAAGGATTTAAGTAGGCTAACACACAAACTAGCAAACCTAAAGCTACTAAAGTGAAATTGAAGGAGTTAATTCAATATTTTCCTGAAACTGTGCCACCCTAATTCAAGAGCAGGACTAGTACTTAATTATTTAAAGATTTTTAAATGTCTTTTATGTATCTTGGCTTTTGTGCAGAGTACCTTTTTGAGCTTTACATATTTTGGTGATTATGGGATGCTTAATGCGGTTGTAATGACCAGAGCAACGATTCGGTGTGGTTATTACGAAGGGACTTTAGAGGAGAGCAGATCTTGTAGTTCAAATATCATGTGTTTGTGTGCGCTAAATTTTCATTTCAGAATGTGAGTGCTCAAAGTATTTTGGTCTTTTTGACTCAAAAGGAGGGGCTAGCCGTTTTTAGCACATACAATTCGGCGCTCAGTTCTGCAGGAAGGTGAAGTTGGAGACAAAATTGACACTTGTGGCCCCATTGGTCATCGGGTGAGGGAGAGTGGTCGCGTGGCCGCGTAGCCGCGTAGCACCGAGGTAGCATAGGCGCTCAAACCACGATAGGAACAAAATGTTTTGTCTTCTATCACCTAAAGGAAAGGAGCAAGTTTCAACTGGCGACTGCCAAACTGCACAGCTGTGCTCTCTGAGATGATGAATGGGGTATCGAACATGTCCTCACAGATCATCCAGCTAAAGGCTTTCAAAGGGCTGGCTGTCTTCTAGTCACGCTTTGAAATTCTGGCTTGATGACTGTACAACCTTAAAGCATATAACTTTACCCTGCACATGTATATTAGTCCCTCTGGACTTTAATAAGTAAATGATTTCTTTGTGCCAAGGTCTGGATGGATGCTGGAACGCAGATCTTTTTCTCATATGCCATCTGCCTGGGCTGCCTTACAGCCTTAGGAAGCTACAACAAATACAACAACAACTGCTACAGGTAAGGCTAAAAAAAAGTCTGTTTTTCTGTGTACATTATCTTTAATATCACTTGTTTCGCCTCATTACGTCGTTATAGAAGTTGCCATTTTCTTATTACAAAACCTCAGTGTGCTGTAGATCGGTGTGTTTTAAACATTATGCCTTGTTTCTGCCGTCTCCAGGGACTGCGTGTGTCTCTGTTTCCTGAACAGCGGCACAAGTTTTCTCGCCGGCTTTGCCATCTTCTCCATTTTGGGTTTCATGTCCTTTGAGCAAAACGTGCCGATCTCAGAAGTGGCCGAATCTGGTGTGTGTTTATTCCAACAGAGTCGCTGGAAGCTTAAAGACATTTAAGCATTTATTTGTTTTCAACATCCAACAAAGAGGTCTTTTTTTTGTGTGTGTGTATCCAGGTCCCGGTTTGGCCTTCATAGCATATCCTCGCGCTGTCACCATGATGCCTGTTTCCCCTCTCTGGGCCTGCTGTTTCTTCGTAATGATTGTGTTCCTGGGACTGGACAGTCAGGTACAATCGATAACACAAAAGCTGTTCGATTCATGCCGAGTCGTGTTTTGATTTGTACTTCTTCACTGTGTTAGTTCGTGTGCGTGGAGAGCTTGGTGACGGCCATGGTGGACATGTATCCCTCCGTCTTCCGCCGCAAAAACCGCAGGGAGCTCTTCATCCTGGCGGTAGCTGTGGTGTCCTTCCTTTTGGGACTCATCATGCTGACAGAGGTACAAACACACTTCAGAGTGTACATAAATGCCAGTCAGCATGTGCTGGTGTAACCTTAAACAAGGTTTCCCCCAGAAAACTTGCTAAGCCTCTTGGTTGGTTGCTACGGCAGCCATTCATCCAGCGGCCCGTCTTGTTTTTGAGTTAAAAATGTTTAAAGTTGACAGGAAATTTGAAAATATATCACTTGATAATTATGTGTTACTGAAAGATTGGAGGATTAATACCTGAACATCAACTATAAAATATTAAAAAAATGCAAACAATTTAAAAAGACTTAAAAAACAATAAGCAACGCTAAGCCTGGTGGGGGCACAAGTAAAGCATGGTGGCCCGCCAGGCTTGTAACTGGGGAATCCCTGCTTAAAGCTGCAGTATGTAATTTCTCCAAAAATATGTTTTTCCTCATTTGTTAAAACTGTCTGTCGTGACAGTATTATATGAGATGAATAATCTGTGAAAAGATCGAGCATACATGAGGGTGATTGACATCACTAAGACCCTCCCCCTGGCTTTCATTGGTTGGAACTGTGTGTTTCTGCAGTTAGCACTGGCAGAAAGCAAAGGGACTCTATTTTTTTTCACAGATTATCTGTGTTATACTGTCATGAAAAAGCTTTAAGAAAATTTTGAAAAAGCGAATAAAACGTCAGAGAAAATAATAAAAAGGTCAAGCTGAAATTCATTCTAGCTAATAACTATAAGCCATGCAAGGCAAATGTAGATATCTGATTGTATTTAGTTGAACTCTTGCCTGTTTGTGCCTACAGGGAGGCATGTACATCTTCCAGCTGTTCGACTACTACGCAGCCAGCGGGATGTGCCTTCTTTTCGTGGCTGTTTTTGAGACTGTTTGCATTGCCTGGGTTTACGGTGAGTCAATGTATTTAGCTTTGGGGTGTCTTTCTTTTCATAAATAAGTCGTTTCAAAGCGCTGACGGAAGTGAAACTGTGTCTTCCCTCAGGTGCTGATCGTTACTATGACAACATAGAGGACATGATCGGGTACCGTCCTGGACCCGTCATTAAATTCTGCTGGCTCTTCTTCACCCCGGCAACGTGCTTTGTAGGTTTCATGTTTATTTTCAGTGGGCTTTTTACAGCATATTGCTGAAACAACAGCGACCCCTTCAGGACGACATTAAAATTGCTGTTTACTAATTCTCAAAGCAGCAAACAACTTTTTCTTCGTCTCTGTCTTAATAAAGAAAGTTATGTTGAAATACAAATATCAGTTATTGTATGAAAGTAATACACATATTAAAGACTTGCAAGTAGAATAACCAACATGACTTTTTGTTTCCACTTCATAGGGAACCTTTGCCTTTGCCTTGATCAAGTACTCACCTCTGAAGTACAACAATGAATACGTGTACCCAGTATGGGGCGACGGAATTGGCTGGGTTCTGGCTCTGTCCTCCATGCTCTGCATCCCTCTGTGGGCGGCAGGGAAACTCTACTGCACACCAGGAACACTTAAAGAAGTAAGTTTCATCTCGTTTTTAGATGTACCGAGTTGAGTGCAGGAGGGAACATTTTTATCCGTTTTCTGTTTTTTTTTCTTTGCTTTATGTAAAAAAAAATTGGAAAACATGAATGAAGACGCTCTTAGAATCTGTATAAAAACACAAGTGGCATGCGCACTGGATATTAACATATCTCTAGACGTCAGTCTGCAAAAAAACTAAGAGGATTTGCTGTGTAGCTTGCATGTTAGCGTTTTGAGCTCTTGTTTCCTTTCATCAAGAAGGTCCTGGGTGCGAATCCCAACTTCGGCTCTGAAGATTCAACAGTTGGTTTTCTCTCTGTATTACCTTGTGATGGACTTGGGATCTGCCCATGGTGTACTTTGTCTTTACACATCAAAATATTGGTGACCAAAGTGCCTATTCCGGTCAAAATAGTATTTTTTTTTTAAATCAAACATAAAATCCATCATATTCAAGATGGTGCTGTTATCTTCCATACAAATATGGAGGTGACTTGGACCTCAGAAGGCTCTTTTTGTTTCAGAAAATCATGTTTTGAGAGTATTGGCATGCTTTAAGAAACAATGGAAAGTCTGGTAGTGATTTATCTATTTTCATACTTTCAAGAGTAATATATTGACTCCAGATAAATAGAGATTAGATATGATAAAATATGGGCTTATTAAAGGGGCAGAATCATGTAAAATTGAGTCTTTTGAGCCCTACATGATGTCATAATGTTATTTCCACCTCAAAAACACATCTGGAGTGATGCCTTTATTCTTTTATGCATGTTTAAGAAATTCTTCAATCTCCCGTGGCAACCATTCTGCTGTGCAAAACGCCTGGGTGGACCTAGCTCCGCCTTCAAGGCGCAGCTCCTCCTCACAGCTGCAGTTTCCAAGCTTCTGAGTGTCTGTCTCGCAGGGCACCCTTCCTCCTCCTCGTCCTCCTCTCTCCCACTCAGCTCCTTCAGACTAGCCAGCAGTAATTATCAAACACCTGGTGAAACTGCGCATGTGCGAGCTACTTCTCAGTGAAACGCTGGTAAAAAACGTTTTTAAAACGGTTAATAGATGAGAGAAGTTGAGATGACTCCCCAAAGGCAGAGTTTCAGAAAGAGCAGGAGTTGTTAAAGAGACAGAGTCTCAATTTCAACGTGTGAAATCAGGAAATAAAAATTCTTTTGAGTCACAGCATTTTTTACAAGAACCAAAGGTAACATAGATACTGGATTATGTCATAAAATGGACTATGTTCCTAGAAAATATATTACAACTTTAACAGACCAATCTTATCTAGGCAGTTACTTGATTTTTTTTCTTATTGTGTTTTCATTTAATTTGTGCTACACCCTTTACAGCGCCTCATTCTTCTCACCACTCCTTCCACTGACTTACCAATGACGAAGCAGCAGCAAGAGAGGCTGATGGGCGTCCAACCTGGAGACGGCGACAAGCCCCAGCAGAAAGCTCCTCCCACCAGAGACGGCTACTTCGCTGTAGATGAAAAGGAGTCTCACTGCTAGAGACCGTTTCTTTCTTTCTTCCTTTCTCTCTCTCTCTCTTCCTCTCTCTCTCCCTCCCCCCTTACCTCAGGTGAAGACTTTCAGAGCCACCGCACCTGTAACTGCACCTCTTGCTACTGGATCTTCCTCCCTCGTTCCCCGGTGCCTTGAACAAAACATTCCCCATCCTCTTTGGGAGAGCGTGTTAACATCTCATTTGCCCATGGCAGAGTAATGTGTACATTTGAAAATGTGACCACTATAGGTTCTCAGTGGCAAAGAAATTTGCTTTCTAAGGAAGCCTTTTCGCCTGTTATGGACATCTGTAATGTTCAGTTAGTTTGACGCGACGTTTCGGTAACTTTCGTTAATTTTTAACGGCCTGGCCTGCAGCAGACGGAGCACAAGAAGTGTCCCGACACTTGACTGCAGCGTTCATGAAAAGCTAACTTGAATAATATTGTTGACTTTTTAATTGCATTTTTTTTATTATTATTATTATTATTAATGCAATATATACATATGCTTTGGATACAGTTCTGCAGGGATGACTTCTGTCATCTCTGCTGGTTCGTACACTATCTTGAAAAAGTTTGAAAAGCCTGGAAACCTGGAATTATGGGGAAAAAGATCATTCTTTTGAAAATATGGTTTAAGTTTGCAGACTTTATTTCTTATCGTACCTTTTTCTAGTAAACAAATGGAAATTTCTATAATCAACATGATTTTTTACTCTGTTTTATATTTGAATAATACACTTTATGTTTTATCTGTGATTTTCCACATTGGATATTAAATTCAAGATGTTCGCCATCACCGACTTGCTAAGGAAAAATAAAAAAAACAGACATTTCACTGCTTCTTCACTGAAGGCCAAAAGTGTCACATTTAATGCCACAGTAAGCCTTAAGCAAATATTTGTGTATGTGGCCATTTAAATAAATAACAATACAGGACAATACAAAATAAATAAATACATTTCAGCAATAATTAAATGTTTCTGGATTACAGGAATAGACAACTGCATTTGTGTATGTATATAGTATATATAGCCTACATACACTATATTTCAAAAGTGTATGTGCTGAAGTATTTATTTTCTTTCCTGTCAACCTGATCAATCAATAATCAGTGAATTAAATAAATTCGCTGATTATTGATTAGGAATTTAAAATATGATGAAAGAAAATATGAAAAAAATTAGAAATTTCAAGATGCATGTTGTCTCGTAAATTCTATTTTTATTTAAATAATGGCATGAATAGCCATGTCTACGTCCGCTGATCTATGCAGGCAAGTTCTTCTCATTCAAGTCGCTTTTGATGTCAAACATTAAAGAATCGGAGTAGAATAAAAAAAAAAAAAAAAAAAAGGCAATGGAAAAGACCTTTAAAGTGTCAAAACAAAAAAATCAGGAGCCAACATCAGTGTTGTAGTTTTTTTATGCTTTGTGGAAAAAACCCCCCACCTGATTACTGTGCAGGTGTTTTTGAAATGATTGTATTGCACTCCAATGTCCAAAATGTTCTAAATGTAAACTTGTGAGCCTAAAAAGTGGAAATCTGGGAAGGAACCCTTTATTTCAACACTCTGAATAATGCACACTTTTTTTTCTTTTTCTTTCTTTCTTTCTTTTTTTACTGAAGTATATTAATAAGTGCTGCTTGAGAGAACTTGAGGTGAGGAATGTAGCTCAAAGGACCAATCAGATAAGCTGTTTTGTTTTTGTGTCCCATTGTAATACTTTGGGATTACAATTTAATTTTTCACCTGCTTTATTAAACTTTTGCAGAGTTGCATGGTTATTTTGTTTGTCTTTTTTTTATCGTTTCCTTTTACTTTTGATATTGACACAGTTTTAACTTAGCCGGGGTTGTCTTGTATCTAATATACAGTTGTTTTTATGCCATTAAAATGCAAAGGTTCTTAAACACGGTGTTGAACTGGGAAAGCTGGTTGATATGTTTCTTGAAAAAAAAAAGCCTTATTTGACTTCTCTTTCTGGTGCACACGAGAATCCTCAGACTTGGTTCGTTCACATGTGGGAATGAATGTACGATAACTGATTACTATACAGAACAATTTATACAACTTTTCTATTGTGAAATATGTTTTTATGACTGATTAATATCACCTTAATTTTGAAGCAGTGCTTTCAGTTTTTTGTGGGATGTTATTCATTTTATCTTACCTGATTTCATATAATGTTTTGGTATATATATAAATAAAGATAATAAAACAATCTGTTGTTGTAGTTGGAATATTCTTGTTGGAAGCATAACTTTATGTCTGCACGTTATAACACTTGTCACTTTGCATTTGAACTGTCATGTTTTCAAACTGTGTCATTGAAAGACCTAAGGCCTACCTTTTGAGGGGATGAATATGTTGTGAAAACAGTTGAGTGTTACTGCTAAGTCACAGGCTGTGTAAAAATACCCCCATGGAAAGTAAGTGGAAAAGATATCAATCTGTGTACATATTTGAAGGAGTCTGGCAAGATTTACTGGTATAAACAAGGTTAAGTTTTTGACTATTCTTGTTCCTCAGTTTAGATTACTGCTAATTAATCATCAACAAATTTGATAAGTTTTTTTCTAGAAGATGTAGGCACTCCCATATTCTGTCTGACAATCAATACTCTGAGAATTTCCTCCTTAAAATTCAACATTATATAATTTCTAATGCGGTTAATCATAAATATGGTTGCTTGCTATTGTAGAACCAAAATGGCACAATCCCATAAATCATTTTAACTACATACTTATATATGTAGCTGTACAGTATATCCTATCATTACATGAGACAAATAAAATATATGCTTACTAAACAATTTAAACGTAATTATTTAGTATAACCATATATTTATTTTATATTTTTAAGGTAAAACACTAAATTAACACGTTTTTAATTTAATACACATTAAAATAAAATAAAACTTCATATATAATTTGTTTAAAACACTTTTATTTATATCAGCCTGTATTTATTTCATATTCCGTAGGCCAATCACGATATGTCGTCAAACAGATGGTAAAATATGATTGGTTGACCTGCACAGCAACTCAGACGTAGGCCAATCATCTTGCCTTGAACCGTGTTTGACCCGCCCACTGACTGACAGAACGTTCGCAACCCTAAACTCAATTTCTTTTAATTATTTATTTTGTTTGTTCGCATTTTAACTGTGACTTGGTGGAGCCATTTCTTTATTAATATGGTTTTATTATTATTTCCCTACTTATTTTACATTTTGGTTTTTCAAACCTCAAGCTCCACAAAACCAAGATTTTTTTTCCCCTTGGACTTGTCCGGCAGGGGTCGCTGCAGTAATGTTTCTTTGCTCATTACTGTTTACGGAAGTCCTAGTGACGTGTCACTGTCCACCAAAGCATTGTGGGAAGGAAAGCAGAGCTGGCACGGCCGTTGATGGCAGACAGATAAATTTAGTTAATATATTTCGGCTTGCCTGTGCGTCGGAGGAAAAGTCGTAGCGAGGACGACTTCTTCCCGTTGCTAATGCCCGCCTGCTCGCCAGAGGGGGAGCGTATGCCGGTGTCATCGCTGCTGTCCTGCGCACGGGGCGCTCGAAGCAGAGGAGTGGGATCCTGTGTCAATGGACCGCGGCGTTTTTAGTTTCTACAACAAGGGAGGCGAATAAAGCAGCTACGGATTATATCCCTGCGGTGAATGGGTGGGGGGCGACTGCGCTCCGACGCCGCTCGTAAACGTCAACCGTTCCTGTGAGGATTTGTGTCAAAGACGCCGTCAAAGATGTCGACCAGCAGCCCCGAAGCGGTGAAGAAATTGCTGGAGAACATGCAGACGGACCTGCGGTCTCTCTCCATGGAGTGCAAGAAGAAATTCCCCCCTGTCAAAGAGGTTAGTTTGGGTTCGTAGCCGAGTGCTACACCGCGCTAAATGTTGGGAACTTTGCCTCGTATGGGAATATTGTGGCTTTTGGTTTTCTCCTGAATGTTGTTTGTCGGTGCCCGTCTCCCCACCAATCATACGGCCTTGTTGTGTCTGCTGTGGCCGCTGACAGCTGCTCACACGCTTCAGTGCAGTAAAAGTTGTTCATTGTTCCTATGAAAAACTATCACTAAGGTATTTACTAGTTCCTCTCTCAGACACACAACTAGAGCACTTTGAAATTAGCTTTTGTTGTTTTCGCCCAAACATGGTGTTTCTTCTTCGTTTATGTCTGTATTTGAGATGAAAATATTCAATAAGCCCGTGGGGAAAAATAATTAATGTATGTCACGTGTTCAGTGAAAACAAAGCTTAAATGTATAAGGATTCAATTAAATTGAGTATAAATTTTAACAATTTATCCTTAACTTTAACCTAATTGTTTCTTTTTTCTAGAATTATTCATGCAGTATGTCGAAGTGGCTCTGTTACGTTTTGTTTTGTTCTCTTTGTAGCCTTTGGTTTATATTTTATTGGTCGAGGTGATGCATGTTTGGACAGATATCCCCCTTTTTTTCATGCTGTGCAGCTGGACGGATTTTTGCTCTTTCTTTTGGACAGTAATGGTGGCAACAAGGTATTGTTTTTTCAACTTCGTAGCAGTAAGTTCAGACCATGTCTTCTCTCAATCAAAACAGGGAGAGATCATATTCCCCACCATTTTCCGATCCATAAGACCAGAAAGAAATGAGCGGCAAAAGCAAATTAGGTGGATTAGCAGAGCTTATCAACAACTGATGTTGTCATCCAGGACATGTTAATGTGGGACATTGTCCCCGCTGCCCAGAAATTGAGTTGTCATGATGCTGCCATTCTGCAACAGTCAGAGGCCTCTTCAGATTTGCTGTATGACTGACTTCTACTGGAGTGCCTTACTGCCCACAGCATCACCATCCATAATCATTTTTTCAGATGTGAGATGGAGTAAATAAAGTTGAATTGAATTATCAAGGTCCCTAAATTGTAAAATCTTCAGCTATGATTTGAAAATGTGACTGTGTTTTCCTTGAATTACTCACCTACGATGATTAGCTACTGCTTCTCTTTACTCTATTTATTTTTGATGGAAACTGGTATTTTGTCCCCTAGTGCTTTCCGTAGTCACCTTTTCTGATACAGTGACTTCATTTAGACACATTTTGAATAGTCTGCTTTAGCTCATGCCATAACACTTCAGTTTAATTCAAATCTAGAGTTTGACTAGGTCTTTACAAAACCTGAATTTTTTGACTGATTCTGCTGCGCAACCCAAGCATGCTGAAGCTCAAGGTCACAAGCCGACGGACGGATTTTCTCCTTCAGGATCTTCAGGTCAAGAGCAAAATTAGTGACTCAGTCATTCACTGCATGCGGTCCAGGGAATGAGACCATCCCACTGAAGCCACCGTTTCCGACTCACCTTCTGATTTTCTTTTTCTGAAATGCTTAGTTTTCATTTTAGATCAGATGCAGCGGGAAATGTTCCACTTTTTTCTCTTTTTTTTTTTTTTTTTTTTTTTTTTTGATTCCCCAAAAATTTTTTCTCAAAATTCTGAACCCTTGGCGGAAAATTT